TATATATATATATATATATATATATATATATGTATATATGTATTATTTGGAACGTAAACCGGATTGACAAATAAATTGGCATCACCGACTGAAATGTCCAACAGTTTTCAACACGTTCAACAATTATTAAATCCCTAGGACAATCCTGAAACATGTGTAAAAAGACGAAAATGGAGAGAACTAAGCAAGCAGTAACTTTGATAACAGCTTACATTTGTATATGAATAGTCACTGTTTGTAAGAAGAAAAGATTCTTTCCCACTCTCATGAATTTGCAACAGCAACTGTTTCAAACGTTCATCCTTGATAATGTATTTTTCTTTATTATCCAATATAATTTGTTTCATATTGCTCTACAAAACACAGAAATATGCACATTAAAGACATAAGAAGTGCACTACAAAAAAACTTTGATGGCACAAATGCAACTGTGTAAGGTATCTAATAGGTATTAAGTTACCAATTTCTGTCTTTTAAATTCTAATCGGTTGAAACCTTCATTTGCGAAATTCCATGCAGATAGATAATGGACAGAAAGAGCAATGATACCATTTTTTACCTCGAAATGCACCCAATCGACCGAACTACGTATATCTTGGAATATAGAACGATATGACATATAAACATCACCACTTTTTATCCCTGTACGATCTTCAGTGCTGCAAAATATACCTTTTTGTCTTTAAATAATTTCCAGTTAACCCCTTCTGAAATTTAATCAAAACTATACTCTTTGAAACAGTGGATAAAATATACGGTGCATAATTGTGATTGTTGTCGAAAAAATCGATGATGCATGCAACCAGATAAGTTTCGGGAAGGTTGAATAAGGTGTTCAGTACATAAACTCGATTTTCGGAGAGATGCAAAAATTTATTCGGATATAGCTCTTCAATTTCAGAACTGAAATGACAAGTTATTAAGTGTCAATTATTTATTGTTAGAAGTCCAATAGTTTTCCTTGAACACATTTTTATTTGGCATTACACAGTGCATAAATTTCGAAAACTGTTTCCTACCTCACCAATTTTATCAGACACTGGTGACTGTTTGAATACACTTCTTTCAATTACAATAGCTTGCCGTCTCAAACCGTAAATGGGTGCGCAACTCTACAGTGACTCATACAAAAGACTTTCCAACTGTACCAGTCTTGAGAGCTACTGACTACATTAATGAACATTTCATTTCACTGCAGTTTGCAATTTGTAGTAAATCTAAAAAGGAAAAAAAAGACTTACGGCTTCATGTAATGAAAGCCATGAACACCAACAAGAATGTTTCCAAAACCATCTACTTTCAACAAATTCCCATAAACATAGTCGAACCAAAGGCCTCGTACAGGAAATAAAGCTTTGTATTTGAATGATCGCAATTCTTCCGGATATCCTAGACTTATCATACGCTCCACTACCATATCAAATGTTACAATTTCTAGATCTGGTGATCTGTAGACTGAAATTATAGAGATAAACATAACTAGTTTTACTAAATTAAATAGTTTATTTTTTGAAAAACTTCGCCAAGATTGCCATATAAATCTTGATTCACGGCACTGTCCTTCAATCAAAAAAGATTGAAAAGTGTTTATAGAGCTGTGATAAATAGTGAATGATTCTATTACTGCATTCTTCCATTTTAAATGTCTGTTGAACTCATACAGCATACAAATTCCAAACCATTCCTGTTGAGAGTATGACTCACAAAATGTACACCGGAAGAAATGCCTCAGTCTCCACAAGATGTCATCGTAAAATAAACTACGCACCCGCCAATGTATAATCCATATCGAAACCGAAAAATCGGATTTTCTCCATTCGAAGATTACGATTTACGAAGACCCTGAAATTGTAGAACTCAAGAATTCCACGTTTTCATCTTTGAGTTATGCAACTGAGAGCTTTTTTGATCCAAGTAACAAGCTTTATCTGAATGAATTAGGTACCACCCAGGGTATTTCTGTAAAGCTAAGGAAACTCTGAAAGAAAAAAATATGGAAAACGAACTTATACAGTGGACTGCGCAAAATTATTTTGTTATTTTTCTTGTTATCAGAATTACTTTTCTTTCCCAAGATTTTTTTGAAGGCTGTAGCTGACAGCATATTAAGTATTTTGGTTTTACAAAAATTGAGAAATTACGGGGAAATGTAAAAGATTTGTGCGTAAAGAAGTCGCCCAACTTCAACTTCAGACAATGTCTCATGCTATATCAGCCATGAAGATATGACATGAACCTAAGTTAAACTGGAATTAGCGCCTAAACTAGCCGTAATGCATGCCTACATTAATAAATGACACCACCCATATGAATGAACCAAACCTGTGGGCGGGGTCCCGTTTGTAAGTCCTTCTCGCACCGTCTTCTATCATGTTTGAGATGTCGTCCTTTATTACTGTCGAACAATTTGCACTGATACTTGCGTTACCTTCGCTACAAAGTAAACATTACCATTATCCACCAAATAATAAGTACTGAAACATTATGACACGTCCTTGAAACAGCGCGAGTCTTTCTAGGCATCAGGCACATTTCAAATTTTCAGGAAACCGAATTCACTTCATCGATGACAGAATCCTCTTCCTCTCCCCTCCCTCCTGATTTTGAGCCCATACCCCTCGTTCTATTTCACTTTCCTTTATTCGTTTTCGGGATGACTACCTTTATCATCCATCTCACTGAAGCCTTCCTGTATTTACGTCTTTTCAAATCATTTGATTTTTTCATTCTAGCAGAAACAAGTTTCATACATTTACATTTCACTATTTTCTGCTTGTCACATGAAAAGACCGTTAACAAAGTAGGGATTTCTCTGCTTATATTCTCTCCCCAGTTTTTAGTTTGATCAGATTCAGGCAACAAACCTCCGTTTGCACTTTTGCATAATTATATCAATCCATGTGGCATAATACAGTTGATTGTACAAATATCCGACACCCAAATGGCGAAAATCATGTATTACATAAAGCATTAGCTGTCCAACCGCCTCTTATGAAGTTTCAAATCTAAATTAGTCTTCCAGTCGCTAAACAATCCGAAACAACCAAAAAGCAGAATCTGACGTTTGATAGATTTAAACAGCCTCACTGGTAGTTTTTTGAAACAGTAATACCATAAGACTCGAAGTGGATCCTACTCATAAAAGTTAGAATTGCTGAATTGAATGTTCTACATCAAAGCAGAATACGTTAATTGAAAAATATCTATATACTAGTTGATGGGAAAATGAAGTAATAATCATATTATAGCGGTAAACTCAAGTAAGGTGGCGCAAAAAATAATCAACGGAGCGGGAATTAAAAATGCTGGAGATCTGATTTTCGCACACATCTCTTTCTAGCCAAAAGTCGATTTGTCTCATCACTACCGGAAATAAATCGTCCAGAGGTGCAATAAATGTCCTTCACAAGGAACATCCCTCCTTTCTGCAGCTAAATTTGCAAAATCGTAATGAATGTTGCTGACGAAGGAATAAAAACTACACTTCTACTATTGCATCGATAACGTAATATTTAACTAAAATCACTAATGATAAATTTGCGAGTTGACCAGAATACCGGGGAGAATTTTTTAATCGGAATATATTAAACTGCCGGTAGGAACCATAATACTTCCATCCTCGTCGGTATCATAGTTCCATCTGGAACTATAATATTTCCCGTTCCCGTCAGTAAGCATGCATCTGCCGAACATTGTGAAAACCAATAAACATCAAGCACTGCGTCCGTTCGGTGCGTTTTCTTTTCTGTCTTGCTTATCCGGGAAGTGCTATTCGCAGGAGCAATGCATTTCCTGATGGATTTGAAGGTATTTGTAAGTTATTCCCTTCTTCCCTCCGGAAACTGGAGGCAAAAATGATTGTATTTTATGTTAGCGAATGAAAAGATTATGGAAATTTCAAGACAGTGGACAGTGAAAATGCAAATAAAAAGTGAAAATGGACAGTGAAAATGTAAATAAAAAAGAGGAGATGAGGACCTTATACAAATACTGAGAAGAAATAAACAAAATTTGAAGTTCTAAGGAGAAAAAAACTACCGGAAACCATATGAAATTAAAATCCAAAGCAAATATGGGAAGTTTTGATAGAGAAGTGTACACTGCGTCACTAAATAACTGCTGTGAATTATGTTCCTTCCTCCAGTTCAGTTTAATTTCGACACTTTATTGTTGAATTCCTAGATATCCCTTTCAAATATCAGAATTCTCCCATTCCTACTAAAAGCCAGAATAGAGTGATAAGTCATCGGCATACTATTTCAAAAGTAATTGATCAAATTTAATTCACTCCTTTCCACTTATGGATGCTTGACTATTTGTAAACATCCCATATTTTAAAGCATTCACTGGTTGCAATGGTACATGGCCGGTCCACTCTATCGCTTTCGGTTTTTAAGTAAGACGAAAACTTTCAAATATTCCCTTCCAGGTAGAGATGGTTAGTTTTCCTAGTTCTTTAAATTTTGCTCTTTTTAAATCCATGGGCGCAGTAATATTAGGCGAATTGTTACCTGCCAGTTCCAAACATAAATAGTTAAATCCTGACGAACTAGTTTACTGCAAAGTTGAAAGACTTGTTTACAGCAGGAGATAGCAAATGACTTGAAAATTGAAAGAATGGGAATGACATTTTAGTTAATTTTGCTGGGTTTGTTGAGGAAAAGTGTGATTTTTGGTCGTTTTGACATACTTTGATTGTTTGAAATTTCCATTCCTAAGATATGTAACAGTCATTAAATCTTGAGCTTATTTTAATTACGTCTTCTAATTATGGGCGATTCATTTTTAACCAAGCTAACGAACTTCTCTTCAAACTCCAAAAGCATTGCAAAGACCTACAAAATTTTGTCGTCCTCCGAAGCATCACATTCAAGTATTGTGTTTTGGATGTTTGAATTCTTGAAAATATTAACGTCAAGTTTTGTTTGTAATCGCTGGATCAATAGCGAAGCGAATCGAAAATTTTTACTTCAACATATTTAACCAAAAAATCTAAAAACCTCTTAATTTTCAAATTTGCAAAACCATGCATGTACAAGAAAATAAGGATGAAAAACATACGGTGGTTAAATTGAGAGGAATGAAAAGATGGAAAAAAAAAAATCCTAAGGATTTTGTTTGGAAAAATCGAGAAAAACTTTAAAACTGAGCATATTCAGATGTAAGTAAGTATTGAGATTCCCGTTCAACTCTGCAATATTCCTCAAGTACTTATTCTTGCACAAGGACAAAGTTTGTTTGGAAAAGGTCGCCTTTTACAAAAACAAAGTTGTAGTTGAAAATTTTGGTAGAGAAAAGTCTAGCCGAAAAAAAAGATACGGAATATATAGACAATTTCTTTGGATCCAAAAAATCTGGAAGAGATAAATTATTCCACTTTCATTCGAAACAGTAATAGAGGAGGATAAAAACAAAATATATGGAAGTAGGCGTAATGATTCAAACTGGTTTTGAAAGAAAGTATCTTGTCCAGTCATCGTTTTTCTCTTGTGAGACAAATATTATCAATAATATTGACCATAATTTTCCAAACGGAAATTCCTAATACCTAATGTAAGTCATTTGATATATATTTTGTAAAGCGATATTCGAAATGCAACTATTTGTCCTGAACTCCCAATGAACTTCACTGCATGTAATTTACTCTCCCTCCATAAAGTTTTAATCGTTTATCCACATAATTCAATAGATCCTTATGTACTTCTGAAATTCAAAACTCTTTGTATACTTCCAGGAAGTATGAGTCTTTTGAAATTGCTTTAAAATTCATCTGTTTTAATAATTTTTCCATTTTCAATTTCTCCGTTTTTCTGTTTCGTTTGTTGAGCAATAATTAATGTCCTGGAATGTGATGAAATTCGCAATAATACAAAATATAATAAATAAATTATTTTGTACACACTCAGAATTTCAACATCAGTAACAGAGGAATTATTTGACATTGGTGAAATAAGGAAAAGAAATCCAGAGATATTGACTAAGAACATTATACAAGACAAGAAAATATGCATTCATTTTATCCATAACAGTGTAATCGCAGGGCCATCACAGGTCACAGTTACATAAACCACAATTTAATATTAAAACTGATGAAGAGTGGAAAGGAAGCCACAACAACTATGAAAGTGTAAAAGGAAGACACGGAGATCGCGACTCAACGTATAAGATTCGGCGTCTCGCGACTCAATGCAGTGAGCATCAGGGAGCGAAAATGCGTGTGAATTGGCATAATAAGTGTGCGAGCCGCAAGAGATATTCTAGAGGGTCTGATTTTAGTGTACCATTCAATTAACTATGCGTGTCTGAAGTATATTACTGCCGAATTTTACGAAACTCTATCAAAATCGTGTTAATCACATTGAGTCGTTGCAATCTTGTTGTTCCTGAGCAGTATTACCTTTGTATAAACGGATTCGATTAAGATTTTGCAAACAAGAAGTCGAAGATACTGAGTAGGAGTTGCACTAGTTCATAATCATACAGTAATACGTAAATGTTACGAAACATAAGATGCGATAACGATTTGAAGTGAAGAACGCGGTGGATTTCATTTAATAATATTTTTCCACACTTTGGAAGAGTCATCCTATGTCTAAAAAGGAGTGATGAAAAGCCACGTACCTTCAGTCTTGATTTTGCTTTAATTTTAAGGGATTCAAATATTGTGCGAAATTTCCTTGTATACTTTAACTTGTTGGATTAGTATCTTTCATCAGTACCACTCTTTTTGACACTAGACACTGTTAAAAACTCCTCTCATCAAATCCAAAACTGTTCAAACTGTTTACAGTTTGACTAGGGTTTGATGCTGACACAATGAGATACTCTCAAGAAGAGGCTTGAACACAAAATGCAACCGCATCACAAAAGTTGTTTTGCCAGGGTCCAACATCTGGAAGTAGGGATAACATCACATTCTTGTTCAGTCAAGTCCCACTTATACTAAGGTAACTTTAATGTGCAACGTTTCATTTAAGAGATCATTCTATAAACTATATTACTCTGCTCAAGTGGATACAGTCGTGAAATTCCGGTTAACATGTACTGCAGGTTTCATTTCGGCATCATTTCACATGTACGTGTAAGCGATACACTAACAGCCCAATCAATAGATAGAAGCACAAGAGATAGCAGATGGCTCATAACTCTCTTCAGAAGAAAGCGGTGTGATGATGCGAGCTGTTAATCCGACGTACTTTTGCGGTGAACATGCAGCAACATTACATTTCAGCAAATGTTATATATTTTAAAATAAATCAGTAGTAACTCATGATAAGTGCCTTGAGATATTTATTTCATTATTGCCAATCTCCAAGAATCTGTGAGTTGATACAACTTAGATTTCATACACAACTTCTTAGATTCTATCAAATGTGAAATAAATGCCGTTACATTTTTCCAATTTGCATTGATTGTCAGTTATGCCTTTCAATAATTTGAAAATAATATACACCTCAATTGAACAAAAACGCCCCTTGATTTGATAAAAAAAAAGACAGCAACTACAAACTGAATTTATGTATCAGTAAGAAACCAAAAAAATTTATTCCCAGTCAACCATAACTCCAGGCCAGCGATACGCTCAACTACAAAAAAAGCCAGCAAAAGTTTTAATAACTTAAGAGTAGAGTAAAGGACCAAAATTTTCTCCTCTAAGCAAAGACTATGGGAGGGAAATCTTTTAGGATAACAAAATGGGAAACCGAAAACGATGGTACGGCTGAAGTCTTCCGCTTAATGGTCTGGCGAGTGACCAACTCTGTCCACTTCTAACTTGCTACATCACAACTCAACAGTTTTGCGTGTGCTGTGTTTGTAAAAAAACGATATTTACACTTGCGTATTTAAGTTAAAATTTGAAAGATTTCACCATAATAACGCATTTAATCAATAGTTAAAATTATTATCAATACTGAAATATCATCAAACAAGTGTTGAAAAAATACACAACAACATATACAAACTACGAAAAGTTTCGAAAAAAGGAACAGATATATGTATTAACTCCTCAAGCACAATTTAAAAAGAAAGAAGAACCTTTAATGTTGCACTCAAAAAAAAGGTCATAGTATGTAGTTCCAGTGAAGCAGAAATATGAAAATACCTCATTTTGCTTTCATTCAACAAACTTAGAACAAAAAGAAATGCATTCAGTAAAATCAACAAAAATCATCAAGGTTTTAGAAAATTCCTGCAAATGCGTAATCATTAACGGACATTTAGCTCTGCTCTCTGTTGTCACAGCTTAAATTTCTAATGGGACTTTTAATGTCCAGGAATTCCTAGTAATTTACTAACACAAAAAATCAACAACTACTTAAGGAATGATATCAACAATACCCGAAAACTACACTCATCCGCTCTTTCTCAAAGCTCTCTCTCTCTCAGCTGAAAATAACGAAACTATTAATATGAAAGATTAAAATTTTTTGAAGAAAGTCTTAGTCTTTCCCTTCAGCATCATTTTAAAAGCCAACGTGGAAAAACCCCGAGTAGCTCGTTTCGTAATTATAGTGCTGGCATCTTATTCAAATAAAAAGCGAAGAATTATGCAATATAAAAATGCTACTTGCAATAAATATGAAAGTGAATAATACAATGTGACAAAAATAATAAGATTTGGACGGTTTTAAAAAATGCTGCGAAAATACTGCGAAATCTTTCAGATCAGGTATTCAAATCGAAAAGTTTAATGAGTCAGGCAGAAATCACTGTGTAGTAGCTCAAAGATCTGTTGAAATTCAAACCAAATTCGGTGAGTAACCAAGTGGTCCAATTAAAACAAACTTTTTCTTCCTAGCAAAAAAGTTAAGCATGCAATATCTCAGTTCTGTTAAACGTGGCGTTTTACTGTGCATAACAGTAAGAGACGTGAGAAAAAGTAGCAGAAGTTGTGGTTTACTAAAATTAAGTGATCTATTGTCTACTGTAAATGCCGACCTTAGATTCGCAGAAGTGAATAGCAGTGAAGAGGAAGCATGCTAAAATGGCTTCTGAATTCAGATTTCCAAGATCAAGACCGAACCATCACGTCACTTTAGAAACGGAACGAATGCCTACATTTCAAATATTGCTACTAGTGAAACCACCACCAACCAACCACGCATTTATAATTCCTTTTCCTTCATTTTACTCCTTGAAGGGCCACAATTCTGGTGGGGTTATGGTATATTCAACATTTAAGAACTTTTCAAATTAAAAGTAGAAAGCGTCTTTTTCGGCATTATTTTACTATTAAAAATTGAGAAGATACTTTAGATGACCATTTGAAAACATGTGCTTAGTTAAACTAACATTTTGACAAACTGATATAATTGAAAGAATTCGAAATTGTACAGTACAACTCTCTATTTAAACGGCTTTCGCTAAACTCTCATCTCCTAAATTTATTGCTGTTTATACAACAAATCATCACCTTGTAATGGTATTATTCTCTTCTGATAGCATTATACTAAGTTTTTTTTTTTTTTTTTTTTTTTTTTTTTTTACTTTATTAAAATATGTTCTATGCACGATCCCGCTGTTAATAGCAGATAGATTGGACTGTGATCGAACAGTTATTCTTTTTGTGATATCGATTTCAACAGTTCGATTGACATTTGGATATTTCGGATATGAGTAAGTTCATTATCCTTGGCAGTCCTGGCTTCAATCATCGACGCGGAAAGTCCTTCCCAAATTTTCAGTTTCATTTGACGAGGTTAAATTAAAATAGTTTGACCTTTCTCATCTCAATGGTGTCGTAAGTTCTATGCGCCGTCATAACATTAGTTTTCGAAGAAATGAGGTTAGAACGTAAAAGCGATCTCCATCACAACAAATACCGAGAATTCGCATTTTAATTTTATTTCTTTCGCAAAATTTAAAAAAGCTAGTGAAAAGGAATATATGGCAGGACACACGTTACAACTTTGAAAAAGCATGACTTTTCGAAGCTTGTTTCTTTTAAACACAAGTTTACAATCCAGTAATGTCATGACAAAATAATGTCATGTGTAGTCATGACAAAAAGTACTATTTACGGTAAACACAATAATCGCCAATATTATACAGATGTTTTTATCATTGTATTATATTATCATCAACATCAATATCATATAAAGAATCCAAACTTTCAAGGATTGCAGATGGCATTCCTGAATAAAAAACTGCAATGCGAAAGCTGCCTAAATAGAAAAACTAACAGCAGCACAAATGAATTGGGAAGTGTAACACATGGAACTTAACTGGACTTGGCCGATTAGGTCCAAACTACAGCAGCAGTAAAAAGATGCATGGAGATCAATGCATACATTAGATATCATCTTTTAATAAATGCCGCTTAGAAAAGAAGCAGTTACAATAACAATACGGTTTACTTCATTGAAACTAATTCGAGAGAGTGGTATGGATATCCGTTCATGGTGCATTTAGTCGTGAAGAGTAAAATTTTTTTTTTGAGAAACCAATAAAATGTTTCAACAATCGTTTGCTCTTTACCATCCATTACTGTTCACGGCATTCACGTCCATATTTACTTAGTTTTTAAATAAATGTACTTCAGATCAATCTTCAAGTTAATCACAAAAATGATGGAAAAATTAAGATGGAGGAATTACATTGTTAATAAACAATATGACCTTTTTTCGAGTCCTTCCAGCCATCCAAAAACGCATCGATTATGCTGGCCGTGACCTGGTTTTAACCAGCAAGTTGTGTTTTGTAACTGTTCGTGTCCCGAATGTTCACCACCGAGAAATCTAATCGGTATGTTCTATTCAAATCTGAAACAATACGTATTGTATCATATTCTCGATCAAATGATTTCCATGACAAGAGATTTGCCGCAAGTGAATATTTTCCAAAAATCTCTCAAGCAGTGTGCCCAAAAATATTAAGAGTATTACACCAGATAGTGGCAACTTTTCGTGAAAGCTATGTTTGGGATACAAAGTGTCCCGCGGTGTTAACGTAATAATACGTAAACAGAGAATATGCAAAAATCTTTCGGAACCTCCATAAACTAAATTTGTTCATGTAATATGCCGAGTAGGCTGCTCATTATGGAGTGTATGGTATCGTGCGGCTTAAGTTTTGGAAGAAAAAAAAGGGAAGAGTGGAAAGTGCTACGCTATTCGAAAAGGATTTTTGATGAATCATGAAGTGACATTAAGCTTCGACGTCTACTCGATTCCATCTTCACTGAACGATGGATACCATGCGTTCAAATACTAAGGAATAAGTTGAATTCGTATTGCTACAAAAATATTACTTTAAGGTGTTACTGTTAGCAACCGATTTACCTGACAAACTTCTCACGTTCTTAAGCCATGTGGTGCTGTTCGCACTTGAAAACAAAAATATTGGAAGTGACGTTTGCGAAACGCTACTTAAGTCGATATCATGCGCTTCGCTTTGAATATGTATTGCTTTTTGAAAAACTTTTATACCATGACGAAAATAAATCGAACAGAATGTTGTTTTTGCGCCACTGCACTCCAAATTTTTGTCACTAAATGAAGTACAGAGAAACAGAAACATTTCACAGTGACCATAAGGCCAAAATAAAAAATACACGGCCAAGAAATCCACGTGGTCGAAGCCTTTTCCAAAATATATAAGCTGTGCCGAATATCACTTTTTTAAAAACTCATGCAGGGTATTTATCGATTGCCGGGAAAATGGATTTTTACGGAGAGAGATTCGCCTACTAATATGTTGTCAGTAGTTCCCAATCTTTTCTTGACCAGGAACCACAGGGTTTAAAAACAATTAATCCTGTAAATTTGGAAACAAATTTTAATGGAAACTTCTATCGTATTAGTTAAACGCAGAGTAACATTATAATGCAAAAAAGAAGGAACATAATTTTTAATAGCCCTCGCGGACCATACATTAGTTTTCGAGAACCATCGGTTGGGAACCATCAGCTGTCACAAATGTTTGTTAAACCGATCGTACTTGATGAATAACTCAACAGTTTCTATGGTTCCACTGGAAATGCTACAACTGCCTGATAGCAGATATCCGAACAAACCTGTAAATGGACATGAAGAGACCAAAGAGAAGATAAACTTGGCCTTGAGACGATTGGTCTAATGCTTAACAATTCTATAGAATTGTTTTCAGCATGAATGCGCATCATTTGATGCTGAAACATGACCAATCACAGCAACATCGATAGAGAGAAGTGAAGCTCACTTGCCAAATGACTGCTAGATTAGAACATGCTAAATATGTCCCGCGTTCATAACATATACATATATACATGTTTATTTTCTATTTATACAAGTACACACGTGTGTTTGTCCTGTGTCAGTCCTAGCAGACGACCACTCAAATTCTCTCACTATTCGATGACGTTGTAATTTCCTAGGAGATGCATAGTCGAGATATTTCATGCAGTTGTGAATATCTTTGTCTCTACTCTCCGTCCTCAGGTGCAGTCTTATCAGATTCACGGATGACCTATTTTTTTTCCAAACGTCATTGTTCATGTGCCTCTTATCAGAACAGTCCGGGCAAAATACCTCTTCACAAGTCTGTCATATTTACTCCATCCGTTTGATACAGAGGTTTTATAATTTGTTTTAATGTGATTATCCCCATTAAACCTGGTGGAAGGTCGCTTAGCTTATTATCATTCTAAAAATCTATCAGTTTGGAAGAACCTACATTTGATGCCATCACTTTCATTAATTTTTATTGGGCATCAAATTACATTTGAGCAGTTTATCCTGAATCCACCAAAATCGACCACTTGTTGCAGTTTTTCAAGTAAAAGTCCAGTGACGATCGATATCCGCGGAAATAGCTTAAGCGTTCTCATGTTCACTCCTTTCGCTGTGACACTCGTATCACGGATACCTGACATTTCAGCATTTTCGAATCCAGCTATACCACCTTCCTACTGGTATGACTCTCACGGATCATAGCACCACGTAAACGCATCCACAAAATCGAAAAGGCATATTAAATTATAGTGATGAGCTCCCATCAAACAAAAATTTAAAAATAACTCAAGTAAAGTTGATGAGAACAGATCAACTACAAAAATCGGTGCACACTTAGGCAGACATAAACTACAAAAAAGGAGAATGTTGTGAGTCGGGATATTTAGAATTCTTACCTAGTTGCAATGGGTACATACCAATAGAATAGACTGGTAAAACGCTGGTACATCGGTCATAGAAGCTCTCGCGTCCAGTAAAGGTATATCTCTTTCGGAAGTCATTCCGCTTGCATTTAAAAAAACATCGGCGCCATCATAAGAAACACAAAACACCGAGTAACGTTTATCAGAGTAACGCAATGCTCTTATGTGGAGATATTTACATAAATCTACTCACCAAACAATCATTTCTTAAGTATGGCTAAAGACAAAAATTGAAATAAATCGAACCATAGACTTCTTTTGAAAGACACGATTGATGCCCTTAAGCCTTCATAACGATCATATGTGAGGCTTGAATTTGACAAATCTATTTTCATCAAGTTAATCCAAAGTGACCAAATGAAAAAGACAAACGTTAAATATTTATGAAAAAACTGCTCAAGTAATACAACACTGCCAGCTCATATCTTTCATTAATTCATTAAATTTCTTTCCTTCCCCTACATATATTTTGAAATATACCAATATTTTTTATAAAAAGACAACATAGAGAAAAGATACAGTGGTACCTTTTTAAGAAATGCATATAGTGGAAAGTAAAAGTATAATAGCAATTACGTGAAGCTCCATGGTGCCATTTGTCAGTTCTGCAATGTTGCCTTTTCGCCAACCGTACCTCTTCGAATGGTTGAAATTGTGCTACAGAAGTCTTATATACAAAATAATTCTGCAATTATTGAGGTAGAGAAACAAGTAAACAATCCATCGCAACATAATTAAACATACGATTATCGAAATTTCAGACTTGAAATTTTTCGCTAATGTAAACGAAACCTTTTCAATGTATTTCTTCTTTTGCTATATTTTAATGTGCCTTTAAGTTTAAAATTCTGCCTAAATGATCCACTTCTAAGACCGAATCCTAACGACGAGAATTTTCAACTTGTAATCACACTACCTGTAGTAAGAACTTTTAAGTACCATAAAATTGTTGCTGAAGATTTTCGAGGAACTTATTGAATCTAGGAAAATTTTAAGACTTTTTATTACCAGTGAAAAAGTTTACTGAAATTGACACTTTTCTCTAAATGCGACTGCAATTGATTGATAAAAGAAGCGGAAAATGCAGCCAAATAGCAACTTAAGTAACAGTACAAAGAAAACTGTTTCTTAGCCTTTCGTAATTTCTGATCAAGACGATCTTCTCAATCGTAACTCCGTATTTCAGGATAAGGAATTACAACACCTTTCCCTGTGGTTTGCATATGTAAGGACTGCTTACAGGTTCACTCGCTCGCTTGCAGGGACAACAATAGAAGAAACACTGAAGAGGAACTTCTTGGGTGGCCTAAATTCAGTGATGGATATTGCCGCAGTTAAATTAGAAATCATCATGGGTGGTCAAAAAAGATGGCAAAGAAGCTCAGTGAACATTGTTATCTTTTACGGTTTCATGTTGTGATTATCTATGAGTTTCGTTATTGAAAACATTAAAATTGAGGGTATGTGTGTCTTATAGGAAATTCTACGGTCGTAATATCCGGAAGGAGAACACTCCGAAGTACCTTTTGGATTCTGTCTGTTAAAAATCTCATATTGGCCAGAGCCAATCAACCAAGTAATACGTGTAGCACTAGGAAGGTAACTAATCGGTATTCGTCGTTTGCAATTTGAACACTTTCTGTCTAACATACGTGTTAATCTACTCTTTTTCACATTAAAATTTAAATTAACCTTTTTATTTCGTATTGAAATTACTATTAATATTATTTATTGTGAATATGCATTGAGGAGCCCAGCCGAAAGTGAATGGAACAAATTGACGTAACAACCGGATCTCCACTGAAAATCTTCATTTTCAGTCGTCTCTTAGTGGCCGTCTCCTACTCTTACATTTTTCATATAATTCGGGTGAAAGAAGGTATCAGTTACTTACTATTTACTTACTGTTCTACATCCAATCGATTATTCATAAGCTTTAATTCGATCAGAAGCACGTAGAATTGAACTATTTCGACAGTAAGCCTGCCCACCTATAGCGATCAAACTGCACACAAGTAAATCAATACCATCACTTAAAAAGTGGTATTTTCTTCCCAACTGGGACTGAAATTATCATTTCCACATATCACTACAGCTACGTAGCCTTTACCCCCAATAAACTGTCACTTCAATAGTCTGTAAATTTTTCTGCTCGGTTTTTCATGTGAAACTTACTAGAAAGAACGTTCACTTCCTGAGCCATAAACCAACGTCTCTGCTTTCGACATGATCACAACTCAATGATATGTTGAAAGGGTTATCTGTTAAGCAATTACTTTACGGACAACAGTAATGAAAGTTCTAGGAGTAGTATATAGTAATTATAATCCTTCATAAGTGATAACACGAGTTGTTAGAACCAACGTATGTCGTTAAAATGAAAATTCATGAGTGTAACCAATTCGACAACTTCTCATCGATATTTCTTTAAAAAAAGAAAAAAATTTGTCGAAATTGAGCCTGAAGTGATTTTTGTAGGTCAGTTTCATAAAATCCCTCAAATAGAATTGGAAACAAAATTTAGGTTGGCTTTTCTTTACGGCAGTACTGCACGGTTTCAGCGCAAATATAATAATTATAAATCACATAAAAAACATAGCTAGAAACAAAGAAGTCGTATTGCTATTAAATTGTATTACTTTACTCTTTAAACTTGATTACATTGGCAGTTTTTTCCGATTTCCTTTGTCCATTAGGGCAGATCATCATTTTGGTATTATGCAGTAAAAAATAACATTCAGTGGAGTTTCGAGACCAAGAATTTTTGAATTTCTGAACTGATGGGGAAGAACTGGACATCTGAAGAAATTAAACTGATTAATAACGAAGCGATCGAAATCTCCCGAGGAACATAACGCGATAAAAACAGATACTTCCGTTTGATTGGAAGCGTTAGCTGGTGGGAAAACCGAAAAAAGAAGACATTATCACATTCCTGAGCTGTGGATATTTGAAGTTCCATTCATGCTCAGGTCATATATTAAGCAGCAAATTATGTCTAATCAGAAATATGTTTATCAAACCGACATTTTCAGGTGGAATGTAGTGTTCCAAACAATGCGAAAATAATTGTAGAATAAGCTGCACTGTTCTGTTCAAAGAAGTGAAATATTTTCAATTCAGCTGATTCCAGTTTCTGAACTTTTTAAGCATAATTAGTATTAAAAGAAACTCATAATATATCGAGAAGTTGCAATATAAAGGTAGCATACTCACCTCTTCTGTCCAAACTTAAAGAAGTAAGATACTTGCAAGTAAGACATGCCACATAAAAAGTAGCACCCAGTTCGATGATGATTAGTAATAAAATAATGTCAATAGGTCACATTTTGAGGTGTTACTTTTCATTACATCACTATCGAATCAATCCCTTTCTATATGACCAAAAAAGTTGAACGCTTTGAGCAATAAAAAGAAATGGAAAGGTTTGAGGTTTCCTATCTTAAAATTCAGTATTTTTACACAATCACGAATGACTAATTTATTTACCTTCATTATCTACCTTTAAACATTACCAGTGTTGTTATTTTTATTCAACATTTTCCATCATTCAACTAACAATTCATTACTTACAGCCCGAACTTCCTATTACAAATATATTGCCAGCATCAAAATTTGATCCGTTTTGTGAAAATTTCAAAAATTTCATCACTGTTTGATAAAATATTCCTTAATAGTTGAAACTATTTCTTATGTTAGAAACTAACAAAGTTAAGCTTTAATATGCATTGTCTTCAATCCCACAAATCCTTCATTTTCTTGATCTGCATAATTGTTAAGAAAAATGCAAAACAGTAAATTTATATCTTTGCAGATTATTACACAAGATTATCACACAACATCCCCAATATTCACATGAATTCCTTCATTTTGCCTTCTTAAAAAACAATAATTTGTCTCCCATGAATACTGACCGCAAGCAAAGGTGCTCTAACACTATTCATTTAACAACCTTATCGCGCTAAGGTTACATTTTATACATAGGATCAACTAATCAACTCACTGCATCCCCTCTTTGCTTACTTAAAGCTCTTAAATTATATCCTAGCATGCCTTCGCATTTCTCTTTTATGTTATGAAAACAAGAAATTGAGATAAAGAATCAGTGAGGAATGAAATCATGCCATATAATTGCGATACAATTAATTGTAAGTCGCAAGGACGGTTATTAAGTTACAGTAAGCATGCCGATGATATCACTTCAAAATCCTAAAATGTTATTACTTTTGGTTGTTAGCAACTTTTGGCACCTTATAGCATTCGTATTGTAAAATTCTATTCATCTAAAGGTTTCAATTTATTCTGTCGATGTATATAAAAGATTGGATAGAAGGAATCAATACAAAAAATCAGTGCCTATTAAAGTAACATGTGAACACATCTACTGATTAATAATATTTTATTATCTCACCAAAACTGTGGAGAAACTAAGACACGGTAAATAGTTACCCCTGTTTTTTTCAGCTTCATCATGCGGATATTGTAAGAGAAACGAATTCCTTAATAGGAATTACTTCTTTCAGTAATCCTGTTTTGTTCTTCTAATAGTCCTTCTAAAAGTAGGTTTTCACTTTATTCGTCTCTATTTCGAACTCTTAAAAATAAATAAATAAACAGAGCTCACCGAAGAAGAGACCTAATGCTGTGAAGTGAAATACTGTCAATCCGTTAATCTATGCACTTCGTGACAAGTCCACTGAAACTATTCACGAGATACTGTTAATACATCCTCCACTAACAAATATGTTAGTTTTCTGATTCTCATTTCTGCGGTATCCATAATACATGCTACTTAATGGTCCCATGAATGATGAGTCGCGAATAAGCAAAAAGCTCTGCGGTCAGCGCATTTTTCAGGCTGTGAAATGATAATAGGAAAATTTGAGTATTCATATCGGAAAATGATGTAAAAACGAACCGGAGAGAACTGGCAGAAAATTAGACATTGCTTAGCAAGAAAATATAGAAGTATTTAGAAATCTTTAAATGTAATGAAGAAAGTATTTAGAAGTAAGAAATGAACAGCTGAAACATGCGAAGATTTTCCAGAACTGTTTGCAGGACTGAAAGGAAATGATGCGTGGAAATGGTTTCTCTAATAGTATATCTGTTTTAAACTCTTTTCTGCGATAACTTCCATATAGTTGTTCTGTACTACTAAATTAATTTGTGAAGTTGACCTTCCTTAAAACATAAAAGAATCAAGAAAACAGAATTTTCAACAATTCAGATTTGGCTGGGAAACAGGAAACCAATATAATTTCTAGGCACAAGACAAATTCTGGATTCACCACAATGACCAGCAACGGTTTTCATCTGTATTATCCAATCAGTATCTTTTGAATTGCAAGCATTACTTACTTCAGCATACTTTCTCTATCGTACACCGCTCTTCTTTATTGAAAGAGGCAGTGGAATCAGCACTTTTTGAAAACTTACTATCGGAAATAAAGTCAATTATTACTAGAGTAAACAGCAGCTTTCGTTGTCAGATCAACATCGCACAAAATTCCCCGAAATCTTTTCCTACTGAGCAATCCAGTTGGCTATAGCGTATGCGTACCCCAACCAATCAAGTCCAATCCATACTGAAGAACTTCGGGTATGAACCAAAGATTTTCATCAAGAGGCCATGTGAAATCTGGTCCTTTTTGTCAAAGTGGTAGGTGTAGTTGCCTGACGACAAATCTTTTGAAAAACCGCTGTCTGGTGTGTGGTACTTGTCACTGCGCCTCGTTCTGGAATGTAGTGGACGATTTTTAGCATCTAATTTTGCTAAGTTTCGTTACTGTACTTTGGAATTGGAATACGTTAATCATTGTTTCACCATTCCGGTATTTTGTCATTTACTGATAGCTGGCTAAGCCCTGATTCCGCAATATGCAGGGGAGTGAGCTAAGACTTCCTTGACGCAAACTTCCAGAATCAAATTCAAATGTGGTAATACCAACAACTGCAGCTCAAATGAATACAAATTAGTTATGTTAGGCGGTATGTTTAACTCTCCTTTCTGCTCTAAATCGTAAAATAGAACTTCAGTCCTGCTTTATTATTAGAAATTCACTGGTATCATTGTTCGTACTACAAACTATTGACTGATAATGCTTAAAAATTGCGAAAGAAGCAAAGAATTTTCTGAATTTTATGCAATGTAGTGTTTTGGTCGTTTGAGTTTTTTTTCTTTCATCAGCGAGATGGAAAAAAAGGAGGAGGATTGCGCTTTTGGTCTGCAACAGCAAGAGTGGTATTGGGCGAATGCTTCCAAGGAGGAAATTGCGTCAGCTATATGCGTAAGTCCAGAATAATACAGTATTCAACTGAAAGAGCGATGTGCAGTCAAATTTATTATTGCAGTTGGAAAGTTCCTGTAATGTCGGAAATGATGTAATGCTTTCTAGGATTGTCCAAGTGGTACGTTTTGTGTGCGCGATGCTTCAACTAAAGGAAACTATACCCTTACGCTTAGATATGGTGAGGTACGTGCTTACATAAATTATGAAAATTAGCTATTTTTTTATTATTTCTTCCGACAGTTATCCTTAAGCTAACATTGTAGTATAGTTCAGCAATTTACTTGCTATTAGCATACGGGCGTACTGAATAATCAGATATTATTAGCATATGAGGTCTTGGAAAACAATCTATATTGTAAAGACTTTCCAAAATTAACTACTGATTGCCGAACAAATATTCCCTTGAGCTGAGGTGTTGCGTTGTTTATAATAATCCCCTTTTTTCTTCGTTAGGATTCAAATATTATTGCGTAGCAAGAAACATGACGTCGCCAGTTGGTGAGTGATTCTTTTTCCATAAACGATATGGAATATTGCTTTGAAATCTATTTGTAATCTTGTACTTGTGCTGATGAGATTAGAGCCGTGGTAATTTACAGAGAAACTGTACAAATGTGTATGGAATGACAAAGGGCAGTCTTAAAGTTTCATGCTTTTTTGAGACATTTTCGTTAATAATCACCTTACTTGGGTTTTGGAATGAATTATGAGTTGTTATACGCAAAGGCAATGTGTTGGCAGTCATATGGATGAAGGAAATTATATTGCAGAGGAATCGTTTAATAAGGATTATTGTTGCTGGTGAGCACTGTGGCTTTACGGAAGATATGTTAAAATTCGAATCAGTTGTATCATTAATTAATTATTATCGAAGAAATTCCTTGCTGGAATACAATCGTCAGCTTTCTACTGAACTTCTCTACCCACTTCGTAAACCAAATTTGGAACAGACTTCTTGGGTTAGCTTTCGCGTTTCTGAATCTTATGAATCAAGCAGATGTGTTAGGCAATTACTAATTGCAATATCCTGTTATTCAGCATGATTAAATAAATTTGCTATTTTGTTCAGGTCATCGATGGTGTACGCAGTGTGGAACATTTGCTGTGTCAGTTGCGTGGTTTGCACGCTGCTCATTTGCGCCTTATACGACATGATGATCAAATTACGGCAGAGCTTGATTCGTTAAAAGAGGAATTGCAAAAAAAGCGACAAGCACATGCTGCATTTATTGCTTCATACGCACTTTTCTTGAAACAAGTGGAGTTGCTTGAAAGGTAACCTTTTCACAATTTTCTTCTATATAATCTGTGATGAATGGTAAAAATTTTTTTTTTTGGACATTTTCGCTGTGTCTCACGTCATTAAAAGCAAATTATTAATGTATTTATATTAAATTTCTTAGCATATATTTGTCCTTACATCAGCAATTAGAGAAGCAGCTCCAAAACTTGAAACAATAGTAGGTATAGAAATGAGTGGATTACAGCTTAAGACCGTAATTCATCTAGTCAGGCATATTTATTTCTCGAGATGGCATTAAAATATGAATTATTTCTTTATCTTTTTTATCAGTCATGAGAAGCATTTTTTTCTTTACTGTTCAGCAATAAGCAATTGTTATTCGATGAATCCGAAATTGCACAATCAAACAAAAATAAGGAGGCCCAGCAGAGGAGGTATGTTTGCCAAAAGCGTTGAGGTTTTCACTACAATGTTCTAGATGTCATTCAGATGCGACCGTACATTAAGCACAACCATGCCATTCAAAAGAAGCGAATACAACTCAGAACATTTCATTTTGTATGGTTTTCGCGGCATCTTTTAGGGTACTCTTGACGAAATATTTGATTTTTATTGCAGTCATAAAATAACGAAGTAGAACATGCTGCTGATATCGTATTTGTTTGGCTAGTTGTGCTGTTAATGATACGCGTCCCTTCTACTTATACCAACGTATCCATTCTCTTACTAACAGGATAGCAATTTTATATCTTACTTAGTATAGCGGAACTTCGTTTTACTTTAAGATTGCAGTGATTTGTCTTCATATCACTAAATTGAGCAGCCAACTGTCCCATGCAGTAAGAGGGGTGTGGGATTGTACGTTAGTTGTGTTCAATTTCTTACATTCGAGATATGTTTGTTAAATTTTTTGTGTAATATCTTTGAGGCTGAAGTTGAGTGAAATATGATTTGACTTTAGATATTCCTCACTTCGTCTGGGCAAGATCACTTCAATATATAGTATTGTTTTCAATATATATTATTCTTAATTCTTAAAGAAGAAAGTGTTTTTTAGATTAAAAAGTATACGCTATCAACAGCAGCAAATGATTGCTCAAATTGAGGCGACTGAAAGAAAAATCAGGGAAAACGAAGCTTTGCATTGCAGTTTAACTCCGAAACTTTCAAAATTGCATAAGTAAAGCCTTAATTAGATTTTCCTTTTTTAAATTGTGCACCGTATTTCTCTGAACTTGTTGCGTAGTTCTTATTCTACTTTCATTAGTTTCTTATTATTTGCTCTGCAGAACCTGGAACAACTGAAAGTATTCTCTGTTCATATAATTAAGCTTTTTAGCTATTTTCAAAAAAAGCGATATATTGCAGAGAACTGGGGACTTGTCAGTTTCGTCTCTCTCAACTTAATGTTTCGCAAGCAGCAATGGATAAAGTGTTACAAGAAGTGTCGTTTTTGGCTGACTTGGAACAAGAACCACTCTCAAAAATACTGGTTCAGTTAACTTTACGTTGGCAACCCGACAGATATCTTTCGCTCGACTGCACAAAGGTACTTGACTTATTCCAAAACCTTTTCTATCTTTACTTTGAATGGAATCTAGATGGCCTTTTTTCCAACTTAAGTGCGTATTTTGATTGTTTTTTTGTTCAGGATTTAGAGTCAATTCTCGAATTTACAGGATAGCGCCTTCAAAGTTATTCGATCACTTATGGACTGTAATCCTGATAATTCAAATGGAATATTTTTAATTCGCCCCAGTCAGTCTCAAGTTGGTCACTATGCACTGACTATATCAAATGAAAACCATATATTTAATTGTTTAATTGAATACAGGTCATATTTTAATCAGTCTTTTTCCTAATGTTCTGAATATGCTTCTCCTCGCAGTTTCATTTTACGAAAAGGCAACTGAACATTCCGAACACCGCTTTTTGTCCGTGTACTTTTAATCAATCTTGTTCAAGGTCTTTTTGAACCATTTGTTTTTTTCTACTTATACGAGTTCTACGGACAACATCACTATATCATCTCATTTGTGCGCTATCAAAGGGCGTGAATATAGCATAGTACTGATGCAACTGCAAGGACTACCAAAGTCTTGACGAGAAAATATTTCAATATTTTCTTATTTAAGCCTCCAAAATGTGTTTTCAGAGATTTAAAACATCCAGAATCGTCAGGATATGCATTTCTCAACACGAAATTATTTTTTTCCTCTTTAGTCGACTTTGTGCGATATTATAGCCACTGTTCGATGAAGGAACACAATGCTCACTTAGATACCAAACTCAAAATACCAGCCTTCAAAGGTACGTTGTGAACAGAAAAAGAAATCTTATTCCCGTCTATTTATGAAACTTCACTTTGCTGTGTTATTTGAATCAGTTTCATTACGTTACTCATTTCTCTTATGGTTCATTGATTCTTATCCCCCAGTTAGTAGTGATGGAAATATCTTCTTGTTTGACGATTATATGAAAGATTTGCTGTTCTTTTTAAACACTGTCTCTCCTACTTTCTCCTCTCTGCTTCATTGATAGATCCCAGCTTTGTTTCACAGAGTTCTGCTTTTAGCTTCAGCTTGCCTTCAGACTATTTCCTTATTGAATAGCAAAGAAAAAACTCGTTTTTATGGTCGTTTTTCGGCACTGCTTGTTTTTGGAACTGTTAAACTGGACGCTTCATTTCCAACAGTCATTTGAAGTCTCTTTCGTGAAACGGGTCGTTAAACTTTTTCGTGTATTACTTTATGTCGCTTACATATTTCACAATTGATAGTGAACAATTTTGTGTTACCGTTACCAGTTCAGGTTTCGGCATGCCAGAGTATACTGAGATATAAGCAACTCGCGTAATCCTCCAAGAAGCGTTGTGACGACAATTCTTTGGTCAAGTTTTCTTCTGATTATTCTGCTGCCAATAGTAGACAAAACCTGAATGATTCTTTTCTGGAAGTTGCAGTGAACCATAGGTAGACTGTGTACCTGTATCGCCTCTAATTAGAATGTGACCAGATTGGCGAGGAAGTATCTTAGTTTAATTAATTAGTCCTACAATCGAGTAGTCGTCTTGGTTTAATTGTTGAGTCCTATCACTTCAGTATCTTCGACACTCCATTAATTCCTTCGAAAGTGATACAGCAATAACTAGTTAAGTCCCATCCAGGTGTTTGGTTTTCATACCAGCAATTTTGTGGATTCGGAAACCTAAAGTTTACTTCTATGCTCAGTGGGAATTTATAAATTACACTTTCATCCTGTTCTTGATTGTTCTAAAAAAATCTAAAAATATTTGGTTTAAAGAAATAAATTTCTGTTTGGTCTATTTTTCATCTGAATCGTGTCACCAGCCGAAGCCGAATTTAATTTTAGAACTTTATATACCCATATAATTTGTTGATTTGTTGTGCAGTATTTTATGTGTTATGTGAAAATGCGTTTAGCAGATAGGATCAAGTAACGTATTGCGGAAATATCACACTGTGTTCAAAGTTTAGGAGTAGGTTTCCCTCGTTTGATCGATGAATCTTGTGCTCCGCGCAGTACTTCATTTGGCCAATCATGTGATCGAGCAAAATGATAGTAGATAGTTTTTTCGGTGAGACCATGAAACGGCAGATACAACAATGGGAATTTGATAAATTGCGTGTGCATTATATATCATTTCGATTTCTGCACTGATATGATGCTTCTGTGCTGTCCGTCAAATCACGATCTATCCTATGGTGAATTGAGTTTTGTGACCATTTCTGGTTCTTCTATTGAAATTAAATGGCCGCATTTTCGTTTCAGTTCCATCTGTGAGGTATTTGTTGTTAGCTGTTCAAGTACTTCATTTATGTGACCGTAATTCTATCTTCGTAATGTTTTTTTGTCTGAATCCTGTCACCAGCCGAAACCGAATTTGATTTTAAAACTTTGTATATCCATATAATTTGTTAATTTATTATGCATGAAATATGTGCACTTGGATAAAAACTTTCACGTCTTTTTGTTGCATTTCTGTCGAAGTAGATGGGGTTTCAATGAAGTAAGACATGAAAATTGCTGCAAAAATATTGAATTTCGATGAAGAAGTATTTGAAATTGGTGAAACGGGAAAGAATGGTACCGTGAGAGTAAGAAATTGTTCAGATTACAGGAGAAAAACTGCAATAGTGAAAGCACTGTGGAGTATTTCTACTTAAGCTACTTCCGGAACATGGATGGTGGTGTTTTATTTCTGGATAGTTGCTCAACGTGTTCAGAGTGCTTATATCTTCGGTAATCATGATATGGATGCTGATTAGTTGGTGATAATGACTCTAATTAATCGCATTATTACTACTAATTATTACTATTACTATTACTACTACTACCATTACTATTCAGCATTAACTAATTACTATTTCTATTATTATTACTACTACTACTGCTGCACAACTGCATAACTATACAACTGCACAACTGCACAACTGTACAGCTACATAACTACGTAACTATAATTACTTTCTTCGTTTTATTTCACTTTTTTCCTTTCTATTTTTGTCTAGATCTTCTATGTCTTTTCAGTTCTCAATAATTTCAGTTCTAATACTATTGTAATTCCTTGTCAAACATTTACTTGGTCCAGTTTGAAGTTTCGCTACTCTTTGGCATTATTTTTATCAGTAGAACTGGGAGGTCATCATTTTGAGCCTTAAATGCTTTCCTTTGAGATGATGCTGAAGTATGGGGGATTGTAAAATTCATGAACGGACATAGCCCAAAATCTGCGGAGAAACGATGCCTAATACAAAGTATTGGTACTAAGTAGATCAGAAAATAGCAGTGCAACGTAGTTTCAAAACTCGATGATCCCAATTAAACAAATATTCAGCAGAAAGAATCGATAACATACTTGGGATGCTTAATGCCTATTGGATTATCCTGATGACTTACTGACTTATATGAGTCGTTTCCTTAATTAGTGATTGCTTCATTCAGAGCTCCATTCATCGCCAGAGTAAAAGCAAAAGAAAAACACTTCTTGCTGTTGTGAATGTTTTCATTATAGCATAAGGAAATTTGAACTCAACCTTCAGAATTGATATCCCATATGCGAACTATTATTAGGCATTAAAAGTGATTGTATTAGATCAACAGTTCCCTATAACTGCCTGTTTGTTGCACAGCTTTTGATTAGACAAAAGCAGCTAACTTTTCGTACCAAAATATGTCGTCAGAACTGTAATTAAATAAATGATTGTTTGAATTGAACTTCCTCATTCTGATGCCATGTTAAAATTGATGACCACAAAATCATCTGATTTGTTTTTCAGTTCTAAATTTTTGTCAAAGTTTGTGGATTGGCATACATTTGACGAACACACCTATGCATTATTTCCATTTCATTAACATAGCAATAGAGATGATGGACAAGTCAATATTGTTCGTTATTTTAAAAGAGGGAACAAACTCGTATTCCATAAATAATTATATTTTCCATCGTGACAAACAATAAAGCATATAACATACGGTGCAAATAATTTCATTTGATTTTGCAATGTAAAATTACTGGCATTAGAAAATGCAATGCTGATTGTGGATCGTAAATACTGTGAGTTGCTGATAACAATTCTGTGAAAATTGATGGAAAATGAAGGAAACGTGAAGTGGAAGGAATGTGATGAAAGAAGAATCATTTTACCCATCACAGCTGCTTCTTCTCTCCTGAAAAATTGCAGACTTCAGCTGCTTTTTTACCTTCTTTGTGAAAAAAAGTGGGGATTTTTTTTTCTCTGTTAAAATGACCACTGAGGTAAAACGTCAAATTTCAGTTTAGGAGGGATGGAAGATAGAATAGAAAAAACGAGACAAAGGAGCAAGGAATGGACAACAAAACCAGAGGAACAATAGAATCCGATTTTGATGGTTTTCAGAAAGCTTTCATGAATTTGCATAACGATTGTTAAAACCACTTACGTTGTAATTTTTTAGAGTATTTGAATCAAAATTCTGTAAAAAGTATTTTTCTTTTGAAATATAACAACTAGAGTACAGAGAGAGAGTTTCCATTAATACCAATTTCTCTCTTTAATGAAATTGCTGTTTAAAAAGTTGAAATGAGTTCACATTTTATCATGATTCAGTGTAATCAACACTGAATTTAATTTTCGAACTTCCTTAGCTTTTGAGATTTTATTAAGATTAAGCAAATAAGTAGGCGGTTATGACAGTAGAAAAGCAACAAAAAATTGACGGCTGAATTATTATATGTTAAAATAGTGAGAATTGCATTGATAGAGGCGATTGGTCTTTCAGCCCATTTGAAATAAATGGCAGCTCCGAAGAAAAAGTAAAAGAATTCTCCTCTGAAGGTGTGGAATAAAAAAATAACTAGCACTAAGGATGCAACGAAAGACAGAAATATATAATGTTCATTAATACTAACCAAATTTTTTTTCTTTCATTTTTATAAAGAACTGTGAAATTTGCTCCTATTTAGGTTGAAGTAGAGCAAGATAGCAAATTTTTTATTTAGGCTTGATGGTTTTATCTGCTCGCTATCTATAATTCAAAATAGATTCATAAATCACTTTTTTTTTTTATTTAAAGGAAAAGATTTATTTTCAAACCACTTTACGGTACTTCGCAGTTTTCATGAATTGATTCCTAAAAACACAAGCAGAAATAAGTCTTCGAAATTATGGGGCTCCTATTAAATGAATGTTTTTGAAATGATAGTAAAAACTCTTCTTTTAAAACTTTTAAACTCTATCTATTAACGCTCTCAATTTCTGAAAAAAAAAAAAGTCGAAAGATGTTAACGTACCGGATTACGAAGCTCCATCAATAGCATATTGCTGTTTGGTGAAAGAGCCAGAAGTGGCCAGCTTAATAATCCGGCTATGGCACGGATACCGCTTAAAAACACCATACAACCAACGGGTCCATAGATACAATATCCTGCAGTTATAGTCTACTTACTATTGTAATCTAGTCAAATCCATCCTGATAAGAAGCTGTTAGTCTAACCCGCTTTTCTTATCATTCGTTAGGAGCAGATATTTAAATTGCGAACTTTTTTTACCTTTAAAATTGAACAAAAGTTTCTAGCATTTTATTATCATCAAAAAATTTTGAGAGGTGAAGGAAAATAAAGTTGAAGCAACTGTAAACAAAATTTTTTCTTGTTGTTTCATTGGTGCTGCAAGCCATTCGTCATATAATGCTGATACCAATGTAGCCACTGTACCAATTAAACATAGCAATATATCTAAACTACCACTTTGCAAGCTCAATCCACGTTTCAAGCCATCCATTAAACCAGAACCTATTTCAAGTCTGGAAATAATATATTCCTTTTTCTCAAATAGTTTCGTGAAATGGTTGGAGGCAGTTAATTCTCAAATTAATTTTATGGAATAAATGAACGTTTCAGAAAGCTCCAACAATTTTCGTAAATTATGTTTTCACTAGCAATAATTTATGAATTTGTGACGAAAGATAAAGTCATGAAGTACCTGTCAAGTGCTGCAATGGTACTAATCACAAAGCATGCGTAGAAGATAGCTTGTATTGGCGTCGCTAACCATGCGTAACTTTTATGAAGTACATCCTGAGGAAACAACGACAAAAATTTCGGGTAATTAAATAACTACGTACTTAATTGAATCCATATAACATTTTCTACTCAAAAACTGAAAATGCAGCCTTAAGAAATTAAAGAACCAAATGTCATCATGAATAAAGAGGAAACAAAGTCACAATGAAATAAATTTTACAATATCGGCAAAAGCGAAAGCAAAAATAGCATGAGAAGTGCCAAATCCAGATAAAAATCCTGAAAGCAAAAAATTCAAGAACGAAAAATGAAACAATTTTGGAACTTTGATGAAGAATATTTTAATAGTGCCTGGAGATTACTTTAAAGTAGCGGAAGCTTAATTCGAAAAACATCTGAGCATAGAGTATCTATTACAACTTCTATTATATTTACCTTGTATGATGAGCGATATGCTACGAAAGGCAGTTTGAACCGTCAATGCCGCCTGAATACTTTCTGATGGAATAATACTCACCAGATCATCCGTTCGTGCTTCCAACATCTTTTCGTATTGTTTACGATCCGTTCGACGGAAACCTTCTGGAAAAAATAAATATATCCAAATATTGTCAATGCATCAACCAATTATAGATGGCAGAAATTTTTGAAAAGTACTTTCTTTAGTTTTTTTAAAACTAGCATTGAATTTAAAGAAAAAATTAGAAATGGACAGAATTCGGAAGTACGAATAAACAAATAACAAACTGTCATGCTGAACAAACACATCGTACACCGGCTGGCTAAGGATAGCTGCCATTGTGACGTTATTTTTTGGATTTCCTTCAGCACTGCTTACTGGGTTACAGTAGTCCTCCAAGTGCTTTGATGTAACACTAAAATATTAATTAATTAACTCGTTAATTTACATGTCCTACTTCCTAACTTGATTGTAAGAAAAACAAGTTGTTTTTTTTGAGATCAAACTTTCCTAACCTATCTCCGTTGTCGCACTGCTTATCCTGGTGATTCAACATCAGCTAATGTCCAAAGATTGCCTGGATTTAGTACTTGGATGGCGTATTACAAAACCAATGATGTGGTTCCACTGAAAATTAGAAACATAGAATCTATGAAATTCGAAGTCTGTGACGACAACCTTTAGTTTCCAAACAGAATTGACTTAGGAGTTATTCTGTCTCTTTATAATTATTAAGCAAGCCTGAAACAATGGGATATACTACATCTAATCATAAGAATCAGTCCGGTATCAGGAAGCTATCATAGCTCTTTCGACTGCACGGTATGTAAAATTTCAGAATTGAAAATTTCAGGACTTGTACGAAATAATTGATGCATAAGAGAGCGCTTCTGTTACCCTGGCAACCCTGTTCTGTTCGAAGTCTGTTTGAGGCTACTTTTGTTTCTCTCTCGTTTTTGAGACTGTTATTTTGCGTGCTCAATCACAGCCTGTAATAAAGTCACCTCAATGGATTTAATATACATAAGTATGACAAAATGAAAAATTGACTCATTCACTGGAAGGAAAATCTAAATTCAATCCCGAAAAGCTGAATATCTAAAAGCTTTCACAGGCATATTGAAAAAGCACTAAAAGATTTTTATCTCATGATTTTTGTTCCTCCGGAAAAGTTATCTTCCATGACTGCCTAATTATTGACTAGATTTAAATAAATGCAATAGTTAATCCTAAGCTTTGTCCGACAAAAGTTAAAAACTGTAATCTTACAGGTTACAAATTTAAGCTAAGGAAAACCAGGATCCGCGATTCACTGTTTTTGGCGAAAGTCTAGAAACTTAAATTGCAGAAACTAACAGCAATGATTTAGGTTCACCTCTTGCGAACAACATCTCTTAATTTCAAATTTTCCGATAAAGTTATGCTGCCATTGTCATCGCTAGAAACACAGACAATCGCTTGATTATTTGACATTTATTTACCTTTTACCTTGAAAACCCTAAATTTTGATGAAACAGTCTTTGTTAGCAATAAGTATGTTTCCCAAATTTATCCTTTCTTTACTATTCAATTAATGCACTTTCTTATTCTAGGACAACTTGAGTGATAGATAGACTCTTGCTCAAGAAAAACAAAACCACTGCGAAAGCTGGGCAAAGCATTTTCTGAATATGCTACCTAGTGATCGTTTCTATTTGCGACTAACTACTCGTTAGAAATGGATGCATTTTTTCGTTTTGTTGATCCCAGCATGATAAAATACTTTGATACACTGAAATTTTACCGCTACCAATTTAAAAGGTCATCAGCAATACATACAGGCTGAATGGTTTTAAGGTCTTAAACTTGTGATAGTAACGAGTGTGTTAGATGTATGACGTCACAGATCAGAGCTAAATTCCTTTTCAATAATTATAGCATCATAATTATAGCATCTCGTTCTTTAGAAAATTTTGTCAACCACCTTAATTTCACAGCAGAAGAAATGCAATTTGTTTACAACACATACAGAAATATTTGTGATTGTTAAAGCTACGTCAAATGATTCAACTTGTATATGAGTTTGACTCGATTAATTTTATTATAAAATTCATTATGGCCTCATAATATTCATAATGTTGTTCCTGAAAAATTTTTTCAGGCCATAAATCGAAATGAGATTAGAAAAAGGAAATGGAATTTCTCACTGCAGTTCTATTTTATTCACTCCAGTTTCCCAGTAAGACATTTGTTATTCAAAATCAATTTATGGAGAATTAGATTGAGCTCTTTTTTGATACAAAGGCGTCATCTTAAATAATTTTAGTCTGGAGTTAGGTGATTAAAATAATTTTCCGTGCACTGCTCCACTTGACATCATTTTTTTCGTATGCTGTACCACTTCTAACGGTAGCTTCAGTTCAAATTTTTGATTTGTGTTCCGCGCTTAATTACCATTAATCATTCAGTTTGTCAAATACTGGTTTGAATAAGAAATGACCGAGCGTTTCTAGAAAATAACTGAACTAAACTCACACATCTATATATTAGTTACATGGGATAATTTAAGATGGATGATTTTGGAACTGAAAGTACTTGTAGAACATCTTGCTTTTTTATTTGCAAAAATGAAAATAACAAAACATTTATCGGCAACAAATATGTGACGATTTTAGGTCTAGGGTCTAGGAAAGGTGGTGTATTAAGTGAAAATCAAGCATGCAATCTCTAATCATTGGCATTGGGGTGGGAATTTGAACATTTGGGTGATGGAATTCCATGTTTTTCCAACTGAATTGCTAAATAAATGCTTTGTTATCGGAAACATCCTTAATTTATAATCTAGATAATATGAATTACTGGCTAGGAATGAAAGTATGAATCAATTAGTTCTGAATAAACTGAATTCGATGATGACTAGCTGCCAGCGTAATAATTTGCATTAAAAGTGGAAAATTTTCATTTCAGGCAGAATCACATTCCAGATTCCCAGGTGGCATCACTGCATAGCCACTGATTTTCTCTTGGATGACTGAATTCAAAAATTAATTCCGTAGCATATGGTCATAAAACTATTTTGGGATTTTATTGTCTTTCTAAATGTCCAATTACTCTTGCTGTTTTACCGCTCCACGTGTAGATCTTTCCTAGCGCAACTTAAAGTGAAAGAGAATATAGGCGGGGAAATGTTGGTATTCATATTAGCTCTTCCTGTTATTTGTGATTATTGACTGCCTCAGTCTTCAGACTGCTTTGTTAGCTCTTTCTAGACTTTCCCAACTTTACTGCTGCTTTCTAACATTAATAAATTCTATACTTATTATCTGTTGCAGAAATGGAATATAATTCCTATCTTTTGAATAAAGACTTTTAATTTTTAGATTGGTTTATTCTTCTCCAAAAAATTTCCGACGTTTACTTTTGCTCAGTGTTTTTCTTAGCACAAACTTTCAACTTGCCGTATTCGTTTGAGGAATATACTGAAATTATTCAAAGGTTTCAGTTTCAGATGATATTTATCTGATACAGATTTATTGCCGTAATCTCAATGTGCTATTTTTCCAATTTTCATCACATCTACTTTTGTTATTAAAACATGGAAATATGTAAGCTTTAAAAACTTTAAACATGATGCAGCTTAAATGAAGCATTTATTGCTACTATTCGTAAGCATAATCTGCGAAATGTAATTCAGGAACGAATCAATGAATCATTTCCGAAATGATTAGAATTTTAGGAATGGCATCAAAAATAAATGATGAACAGCGTTATTAGAAGACGAGCAGTTCTTGATTTCCGTAAATGAATGAATTAAAGATAGATATCAGGCCGTCTAGGAATAACTCAACAGAATTAGGAAGACACTATCTGATCACATCATTTGCAAAAACAGTTTGTAAAAAATTTTTCTAATCCTGTTTTCTTTGTTAAATGAAACGGGAAGATTGCTTAGAAGTGAAATGATCGTATGAATAGAGAAATTGTTCTCACATTAAATAGCATTTAATATAATTTATTTAATTTTAGTTTGAAATAATAAAAATTTTGAATGCTTGAGAAGTTGAGGATATAATGCAAACAAGTAAACAAATGCTGTTGATTTTATGCTAAAATTAGCAAGTAAAAATATAAGAAGCGGTAAGATTGTTGTCAAACTCCGTAATCCTGGGATTGTTATGGATGACCCTGGAATGATTGATATCAATAAAATCGCATGGAAATGACAAAATATGATGAAGCGATCCCTGTAATCTTCAATTCTGTCCTCGTCAAAGTTTCAATTATAATAAAGAGCGGTAGGGTGCTCGTTGTGTTCCTGAGAGGCTCTAATCCATAATATCTCTGGCAAATTACTGAAGTACCGACACACATACACATACATACATACATACACACACACGCACATACACACACACACACACACACACACACACTTTTCACACACTTGCATTTACAAGCGAAACGAAATGTTGTGTCTTGCATATAACTCATCCCTGTTGACAAGCAAACATTTAATCACTGATTGATTAGCTTCCACTCCTTACTTAAATGATTTATTAATTCGAATAACACTTGCTTATTTGATAACGAGCTGTCACTTCTAATTTTTCTAGTTTAATTTCATCGCTTTTTTCATCATTCCTCTTCACAGCGCCCTTGTTTTTGCAATTGTTTTGTACAGAATTGTACTTTTCAATTGCAGTCGATAGAAATATACATGAAATCGATCATTCCCGTTTGTAAATTTTAGATTGGCATCTGTATTTGCCCGAATGCTCGAAATTAGTTCCGTTAACTCTATAGAGTTGAATTATTTCATAAAATACTTTGTAGGATTCGTTTTGCATTGGCAGCTCCCAGGATAAATAATCCAGGATTGAAGATCTGAGCTTAATTTTTGAAACATTTTGTCAGGATGCTCTTGGAAGCATTGATCATCGGTTTATTCGTACGTACAGCACAGTCAGTAAGTAAGTTATTATGATTTTGCTACATGTGTAATTTCCTATTTCATCATATAATCTTCAGTCTCCTGCAAAGCTCATAACTTAGCCTAACTTAGTCAGTTCATGTGGGTATAAGATGCATGAGAGAGCGATTAATATTCACGAAATTGTAAATTGGTGCGAAGTTTTATGTTTTTGAATAGCCTTAGAAGGATCAAATCTCTTAATTTATCTCTAACTGATCATGAAACTTTAAATGCTTAAAGCTTTATTTTTACCATTTTGTTAACTCTAGAAAAGTTATGATGGTAATTGAGTGAATTTGGATGCAATTTGTAAATTAACCTTCTTATCATGAGATCATTCTTTCTCAGTATTCACTCGTTTGAAAAGGAATAACAATTTTTGCTGAAAAAAAAAAAAAACAGATTGAAGTAAATAGAAATTGAAGGGATTCTTAACTAGCAACTCTTTAAATTATTTCCTGGATGTTATGATACCCACTGACACTGTTTTTTTTCTTTCTTTTTTCAAAAATTAAATAAAAATTGACCGATGGAAATTGAGCAATGTCCAAATTAACTCGGTAAATTACTTCCTCTGTTTGCAATATGCAACATTTCTCGTAACCATTGCTTACTGTTGCATACTTATACTTATCATAATCCACTTATTCATAGTGTTGTTTAGAGAGTTATAATTCAAAATAGCCACGAAGCTCTAAAGTATCTCAAGACGTAGACTTGCCGACTACTGTGTCGCATATGTAGCAATAACAGCTTTGATCTGAATCCTGTTCTCCCTTTCTCTCTTTCTATATATAGATATATATAGTAAGAGAGAGAGAGAAGTTTTTTGCAATTTTATTCATTTTCCTAATTAAGTGAAGTCATTTTGCGAAAGCTTTTAACGTCAATGCCTGAAGTGATGATGCAGTTAATGTCTGATTGCTTGATGCTTACTGCTATATATATATATATATATATATATATATATATATGTAG